GTACCATCTCCCAATGCCTGATCCTGGCCCCCTCCCCCCCCCAGTGATCCTGCCCCACGGGGCCCGATTCTGCCGAACCCACAGAGCACAAGCTGAGACAAACACCATCGCTTTATTCTCCCACCCAGGGGAGTGACGGTGGGGAGGACACCCCACCCACCCATGGGTGCCATGGTCACTTGCGGCGCAGGTAGAAGGCGGTGATGGCGTGGGGGGCGGCCAGGGTCAGCGCCTCCCCCGGCCCCGGGGCGGTGCTGAGGAAGAACCCGGGGAAGGCGGCCGCCTCGAAAGTGTGCGTGGAACCACCAAAGGTCTTGTAGAAGGTGTAGGGGGTGGCCTCGGCCCCCCGCAAGAACAGGTCCAGCAGCCCCACCTCCTGTCGGGAGGGGGGGATGTCAACCCAGGGCGGCACTGTCCCAGGGAACCCCTGTCTCCAGGTGCCACCATCTCAAGGTGCCACCATCCTGGGAAACCCCCACCTCCAGGTGCCACCACCTCAGGGTGACACCATTTTGGGATGACACCACCCCAGGGTGCCTCACCTTGAGTTATCCACCTCAGGTTGACCCACCTAGGGTTGCCCTACCACCTCAGGGTGCCCCACCTTGGCTTGTCCACCTTGGATTGACCCACCTAGGGTTGGCCCACCGCTGGGTGCCCCCCACCTCAGGCTGTCCACCTCGCGTTGACCCACCTTGGGGTCCCCACCACCCCAGGGTGCCCCCACTTTGTGTTGCCCATCTTGAGTTGACCCACCTTGGGATGCCTCATCTCAGGATGCCCCACTCCAGGGTGCACCCCACCCTGGGACACCCCCCACCGTGACACACACACACACCCCCCCGCTCACCTCCAGCTTCAGCTGGGGCTCGGGGCCAGTGCCACAGGAGAGGGCCTGGGTGCCACCACGGATGCCCACGATGAGGGGACAACGCCGACGCTCCAAGTGCTTGTTGGGCACCACGCTGATGGGTTCTATGAGGAGAGGCTGTGGGTGGGGTGGGTGGGAGCACCCATGGGTGGGGGTGCCACCCCTGCCCCACACAGGGCACCTACCTTCCTGGACAGCGTTGGCACCCCGCAGGCTGGGGGGCCCCCAGGGCCCC